CTACAACTCCAAAATCAAGAGACACAGGCAAATCCAGAGAGTCACAGTTGAGATCTACCCACCTGGAGCAAAGCTGTTGGTAGAAACACTTCAATGGTGACTTTGAGGAATTACTAGAGGCTGAGCATGGATGAGCATGACAGTGAAAAAGTCCTAGAAGCGGCAGTTTTAGGGCAAACTCATCTTATTTTAATGAACTTTACATCCAGGAACCCCACCAGGTTCTCAGAGTGAAGAACTGACAAAAATCCCTTTGTGGTTATGGTAAGGGTGTGGGGGGCAATAATTGTGAAATATGCCCAAACTGTACTCTACCCAAAGGCAGACTCTCCAGGAGTAAAGATTTTAACAGAGTTTTATCCCACCTGGCAGATGGGCATTTCTCCCATTCTAGCGCCCTCTAGCTAAGGGGGAAAACCTTTGTGAAGGTCACAGCCAGGGACACAGGCTCATAAAAGACCAAGACTTAATCATTAGACTATAGAAAGTTTATCTTCCCTCACACCTTACCATCACACCCACAGGGTTCCAGTATAATAACAAAGGATAACAGCTGAAAGAGCTACAAGATGCAGACTCTCTCTGAAGAGAGAAACCCAAAGTCAACAGAGATAAGAACACTAGAAGAATTTGAAGCCTCTGGCACCTACAGCCACAGCAAACATTAAATACAGCTCAACTTCTAGCCAGACTAAGACCTTACACATATGCCTATTTACCCGCTATTGGATACAACATATCTGGCTTTCAACAAAAAAATTACAAGGTATGCTAAAAGGCAAGAAAAGACATAGTCTGAAGAGACAGAGCAAGCATCAGAACCAGACTCAGATATTTTACATTGATGCTGGAATTAACCAGACAGGGAATTTAAAATAACTGATTAACAGTTAAGGTCTCTAATGGGAAAAGTAGGCAATATCCAAGAAAAGATGGGTAATATAATCAGAGAGGTGGAGACTCTAAGAAAGAATCAAAAGGAAATTCAGGTATAAAAAACACATAAGAAAAACGAATGCCTTTGATGGACTAATTAGTAGACCAGATATGGTTGAAGAAAGAACCAGTAAGCTTAAAGACCGGTCAATAGAAACTTCCCAAAATGACCGCCTGAGCGGTCACTCAGTTAAGTGTCTGCCTTCAGCTCAGGTCATGATCTCAAGGTTCTGGGATTGAGCCCCACATTGGGCTCCCTGCTTGGCAGGGAGTCTGCTTCTCCCTCTCCCTCTGCCCCTTCCCCCTCTGCTTGTGCTCTCTCTCAAATAAATACTCATGTACTCTCTCTCTCTCATTCTCACTCTCTCAAAATAAATAAATAAATCTTTAAAAAAAAATCTTCTAAAAAAAAAAAGAAAAGAAAAGAAACTTCCCAAAATAAAATGAAAAGAGAAAAAAACAGTAATAAAAAGAACATACAGAACATTCAGGAACTATGGAGCAGTTTCAAAAGGTGCAACATATACATAACTGGAATATGAAAAGGAAAAGAAACGAGAAGAAATATTATAAGTAATAATGGCTGAGAATTTTCCAAAGTTAAGGATACACACCAAATCAGGAAGCTCAGAACACCAGGCAATATAAATTCTAAACACCTATACATAGGCACATCTTATTAAAATTGTAGAAAATGAAAGACAAAGGAAAAAGCTTAAAAGAAGTCAGGGGGGAAAAAAAACACCTTACCTATAGAACAATGTTAAGAACTACAGTAGACTTCTCATCAGAAATCACATAAAAAGATATCAGAGTGAAACCTTTAAAGTGTTACAGAGGAAAAAAAACCCACCAATCTAGAAACCCATATCCAGTGTTACTATCTCTCAAAAGTGAACGAGAAATAGAGACTTTCTTAAACTAATAAAAACTGAGAAATTCATAGCCAGGAGACCTACCCTGCAAAAATATATTAAAAGAAGTTCTTCAGGGCGCACCTGGGTGGCTCAGTCAGTTAAGTGTCCGACTCTTGATTTCGGGTCAGGTCATGATCTCAAGGTCATGAGATGGAGCCACACATTGGGAGTGGAGCCTGCTTAAGATTCTCTCTCTCCCTCTGCCCCTCCCCCGCCACACTCATGCTGTCTCTCTCAGAAAGAAAAAAACAGTTCTCAGGCAGAAGAAAATTATATAGGTCAGAAACTCACATATACATAAAGAAAGAGAACTGGAGAAGGAATAAAGCTAAAACTACATCTTTTATTATTCTTATTCTTCATCTAAAAGGTAATGCTTTAAAGTAATAATAGTAATGTATTATGTGATTATCATATATGGATAAATGAAATGAATGATAACAACATCATCAGAGAAGGGAGGAAGGAATTGGGAGTATTCTGTTGTATGTACCTGCATGACACATAAAGTGGGATAACATTTTTTTGAAAGTGAATTTAGATTAAAAATGTTTACTGCCTGATTTTTTGATATGACACCAAAAGCACAGGCAACAAAAGCAAAAACAGGTGGACTCCATCAAACTAAACAGCTTCTATACAGTAAAGAAAACTATCAAAATGAAAAGGCAACCTACGGAATGGGAGAAAAAATCTGTAAACCTTATAGCCGACAAGGGGTTAATATTCAAAATATATAAGGAACTCATACAACTTAATAGCACAAACACAAATAATCCCAATTAAACGGGTGAAGGACATGAACAGATATTCTTCCAAAGAAGACAGACCAATGGCCAACAGGTACATGAAAAGTAGCTCAACATCACTAACCATCAAGGAAATGCAAATCAAAACCACAGTGAGATAACAACTAACATCTGTTAGAATGACTATCATCAAAAAGACTAGAAATAAGAGTTGGCAAGAGTATGAAGAAAAGGAACCCTCGTACCCTGTTGGTGTGAATGCAAATTCATACAGCCATTTATGGAAAACAGTACGAAGATTCCTCAGAAATTCTTAAATGGAACTAGTATATGATCCAGCAATCCCACTCCTAGATATATAAAGAAATGAAATCAGTATCTCAAAGAGGTATCTGCACTTTCATGTTCATTGCAGCATTGCTCACAAGAGCCAAGATATTGAAAGACTCTAAGTGTCCATCAATAGATGAATGGATAAAGGAAATACGATGTGTGTGTGTGTATACTGAAATATTATTTAATCATAAAAAGAAAGTAAGTCTTGTCATTTGTGACTAAATGGATGAACATGGAGGACATTATGCTAAGTGAAATTAAGCTAGACACAGAAAGACAAATACTGTATGATCTCATATGTAGAATCTAAAAAAGCTGAACTCAATGAAGCAAAATAGAATAGTGGCTGTCAGAGGCTGGAGGGTGGAAAAATGAGGAGATGGTGATCAAAGGAAGGGTATAAATTTTCAGTTGTAAGATCAATAAGCTCTGGGAATCTAATGTACAGGATGGTGACCATACTTAATAATACTATATTGTATACTTGAAATTTGCAAAGAGTATTAAAAAGTGCTCTCACCACAAAAAAATAAAATAGTATTATGTGAGGTAATGAATGTGTTAACTAGTTTGTGGTAATCATTTCACAATGTATACACAAATCATCATGTTGTACACCTTAAATATATACAATTTTTATTTGTTAATTATATCTCAGTAAAGTTGGGGGGGTTAAGTCAAAAATGTATATGGCAAACTTTAGGGTAATCACTTGAAAAAATTTAAGAAATATAACTGATAGGCTAAAAGGAACAAGAAAATGGAATTATATAAAATGCTCAATTAAAAGAAGGGAGAAAAAGCAAAAAAACAAATGAAACATACAGAAAACTACAGTAACAACCTCCTTGTTGGAGTTGGGCATTGTGGAAGCAGTATAATAGGAAAACATCAGTAATGAATTAAAATGAAAGAAACAATCATCCAGAATGAAACAAGGGAAAATATGAAAAGAAAACTGGCCATTAGTAAAACAGGTAATAAACCAAAATAGGGGGAAGCCATCAACCTCCTCCACCCAAAGATAACTTATTTTTTCTCATAAACCTAAATATAAAGTCCAAGATATGAGACTATGGTAACAAAGAGGTTAAAAATAAACAAACAGAAAGAAAATGTGGGATTGTCACAAACAGGGGAGTTTGGAATATTAATGAATAATATTACTCTTGATAGTTACCACTCTGTTTTATAACCCTAAATACATATAAGCAGCTTCATCTTCGATAGTCAGGTATTATATAGAAAACTGCCTCCACCTTTTCAGTGAGGAAAAAAAGCCAACTAAAATGTGAACTGGTCACAATCAGAATCCGTAATCTCATAAACAGAATTCTACTTATTCACAAGTAACTTTAAGATACTCGATTTTCTTTCTCTCTTTAGCCTAAAAACATGACTTTACTTTTGACATACCCTAGAGGAAGATTCACTATAAGGGTATCATGTTGAATACACCCAATATATGGAAAGAGAACAAGACTTAAAGTGTTGAGACTAGACTGTACCCTTTCTTATTAGTCATCAATATCAACTGGCCTCAGTTAACGTAACTGCTCAAAAGTCATAGCTCCAATTCTCACAGAGTTGGTAGCTCAGAGATTAGAAATATGAAAGTGTTCTGAAAACTACAAACTGCCATATAAATCTTAGAGGGAAATAAATCAAAGAAATGGAAAATAAATATCTGTAACACATCCTAATACTCACCAGTATGGGTGACTATCATTGCTACATTATTTCCTTCTAGGAAGCTCAATGCTAATGGAAGGAATATATCAGAAAATGAAGAATTTACATTGTGGTCTTATACTTTGTCCATAAAGGAGCTGCATTTTTTAATCTTTCTCTAAACTGTCAATTTTCTAAGAGTTTGAGGATGCTCAGTAGTAAAATAAAAGAGGACAAGAACATTAAGAGAACTGATGAAGGTATAAATGATATTTTGAACTGTGGGGGATTATTACATCATTGGTAATTTATTACACATTGAACACTGCAGAGCGCTCTACTATGTTCTTATTTAAAGCAAAGTAAGAAAAGTGAAAAAATTTTCTTTAACCTTTTTCAATTGTGATTCCATTTTCAGACACTCCTCCTTCTTCTGTTCCAAAGCAATCTCCAGTGTCTTAAGCCGTGAGTCCTTTTTCAGTCCTGAGGAAGCCAGGGAAGAAGCATGCTCTTTCAGATCCAAGAGTGAAGCCTGAAAGAAGCAACACACATCTAGAATAAATACTAAGTACAAACAAAATGGAAATGTAAATTTTAAAATTTGTTATCTTGGTGGCTTGTAGTGTCTATTTATTACTATATACTGACAATTCCATTTCAAGAACATTCATGAAATATAAAACAATGTCAGCTTCAGCTTTCAAGTCCTAACTAAATTAAGTCGAATTCCCAATACCAACTGAATTGTGACTTAAAGAGTTCTATCAATATATATCCATTCCCATAAAATAAATGGAAGTAGATCAAGCTTCATGAATGAAACTAGTCACTAGCAGTAGTACTCACTACTAGTTACTGTAGTAGGTCTGACGTAAATATAAAATACTTTTCCCTTTTAGAAGGAAAGTTCCACCAGAAACTTAAATTTCCATAAATTGCCCTAAAGATACTAGAAAGAAAATCCGAGAGTGTCCCTAAAGCCCTGGCATTATTACATGATCACAAGGCAGTATTTTTACTATTTGCGTCACATTAACAGGATCTTTCAAAAGCAAGTCCAAAATATACTAAGTCACCTAATTGGTCAGCAATCACTTAAGATTTCTCTGCCAATACTGAGATGCATTTTAAGAGATACTGTAAATAAGCAGCCCTCCATCTGCATATTCTTTTATCTATCACCTTTCTTACCATTAGCACAGTATTTTTCCATGTATAACGCTTCAGTTATTTTAGGATCTATAAAAATGTCATTAACAAGTAAGAAACCAACTCGTAACATTGAAAAAGCTAAAGACTTGGGAAATGAATGATCCAATATCTATTATGTCTCTGCAAAGCTTCCCAAAATACCCCTTAACATCTTCTGAAAAGGCCTGCTATAAGAATATTAAGAAAATCTTCCATCAAATACATTTTTATATGCATTATGTAAACACCAACAACATATACATACAATGCACTAAGCAAACCAAATCATTCTAATTTTGGTGATCTTAACCTCTTTTTCTGAGAGGTCGCCTTGCAATAAGCTGACTTTTTCTTTCAAGTCTTTAAGATCTTTTTTGTAGTTATCAATTTCCTCTTGCTTCTCTCGTTCATCTCTGTCCCGCTGCTCCTTTAAGCGTTCAATTGTCCGCTCCTGATGAGAGAACACATCAATATGTAAGAAAATTCCTTTCATACTTATGATCATATGACTCTAATTCAGCTTTTAACTGATAAATTTCACACTTTCATGCTCCATTCAAAAGACAGTGATAAGTTGTTAATAATCTACTTTTCAAGGAATTCATCTTTCCTACCTCTCTTGCAATAACAAAGATGTAGCTTTGTTCTTTTGATTCCCCTAGGTTTCTTTTCCTATAATCTCAAATAGTATTAGAAGTCCTTAAAGTATTCTTTTGGAATAATCCCCTTTATTCAATCCCCAAGTATCCAAAAACTTTACACACATACAGCCCTAAGGGTGATAAATAACAAATATTTCTTTTTTATATGTAATTCACATGTTGCCCACAAGGCAATGGAAACAACTCAAAATTCACATACAAAAAAGGAAGAGATCTGGGAGATTATGATATGTTGAGCTTAGAGCATAAAAAAGTTGGGGGAAAAGAGAGAATCCATTAAAACTTCTGTCAACAGATACTCAGGAAGTCTAAAAGTTGAAGCAATTTAAGTATCTTTCTGGTTATTATTTCTGACTGTATTCAGGGATCAAGCCTTGATCCCTGGCACATAGCCTGAAGCATTATGAGTCCAAGAGGCTTAAGGAACAGTGACCCTATTCCTTTAAAAAAAAAAAAAAAAATCTTATTAAGGGGCACCTGGGTGGCTCAGTCGGTCAAGTGGCTGCCTTCAGCTCAGGTCATGATCCCAGGGTCCTGGGATCGAGCCCCACTTCAGGCGGGAGCCTGCTTCTCCCTCTCCTTCTGCCTGCCTCTCTGCCTACTTGTGCTCTCTATCTCTCTGTCAAATAAATAAAATCTTTTTTAAAAACCCTATGAAAATGCCCCACCAAGATTCCTTAAACCTCCTTCCAAGACATTGGGTGGGCCACTTCTTTATTTAGTCAACCATTCCTGAAAAATTAGGTTTGCTCATGAACAAAAATGAAGCAGCAAGGCCAAGATTAGAAAAACAACAAGAATGTTGTATTAATAACTAAAATCCAAGACTATATTAGGTATCAACATTGTACAGTAAAGGAGAACTAATTATATGTTGCTTCCTAATGGTCAATGTCTGATATTCCCACATCCCCAAAATCTAGTTGATGAGATAAATAAAAAGAACTTTTCTTTTTCTTCAGAAGAGAGTAAATGGGAATGTATGGCTTAGTCTTTAGAAATTTCAGCCACTGGGGACACCTGGGTGGCACAGGTGGTTAAGTGTCTGACTCTTGGTTTCGGCTCAGGTCATGATCTCAGGGTGGTGAAATCAAGTCCCACATCAGGCTCCTAGCTCAGTGTGGAGTCTGCTTGAGTTTATCTCTCCCTCTCCCTCTGCCCCTACCCCCCACTCTCTAAAATAAATATATCAATGAAAGGAGAGGGGAGGGGAGGAGAAGAGAGAGGAAGGGAGGGGGAAAACTTTCAGCCACTACCCTCTAGTGTGAAATCCATCTTGCCTAGCAACAGATGCTTAAGTTGACAAAAACAAAATGGATTTTCTATCCCTTTATACTATCTACGACAGCAGCAGTACAGAAAGCTCTTTTCTCTTTTGCCCTAAGGGACTTCTTCTTTTATATCCAAGTCTCATTACTAGAGAAAATTTTAGATTAATGAGGAAGCAGAGCAAACGTGTCTACAGAGAGTCCAAACCAGTCACTCACTTTCTCTGCAAGGGCCTCCTCCAAAGTTGTCAAGGCTGTGTCGGTGTTGGTAGTGTCAGCCTGCAAGGATTTGACTCGTTCTTTCAAGCTGCTCATTTGCTTCTCCTTATCTCTAAGTTGCTCTTGAAGATTTTCAATCTAAGTGTGGGGAAAAAGAGGAAATTAAGAGAAGTATAAATAGTCACAATAAAAATCATTTTAAGTTGGAAACAGGTAGACCAGGGTTGTCTCTGAGTGTCTGTTCCATAAAAATAATTTAATACTAAGGGTTTCAGAACTGCATGCAAAATTTTCAAGACAGAACTTACAGGCAGAACACAGAAAAGACACACATGTAGCTATGGACATATATGCATATACATAAATCTCTAAAAAAAATAAGGGAAGTAGCTAGAGAGAAAAGAGCCAACATATAGAGATGAGATTGAGAGAGAAATATAGGGAAGACACAAGAAATGGGATTACTTCAATAACGACACTGTAAATCACTTCACAGTGAATTGAGGATTAGAACAAGACAGTAAGAAAGACAAATCAGCTGTATAAAGAAAAATTGTTCTTAAATGCTAGTGTTAAAATATATTTTTATATCACCTTTTATCTAAATATGAAGCATTTTCAATGAAATTCCTTATTGTAGTTATTCATTCCTTCATACACATCTGTAATGTATTCATTTACTCAAAGAAATATTTATTCAATTCTTTATATTACCAGGCACTAGTCATACAAAGAAAAATGAATAGACCGATTTTTATTATGTTGTAAGATGGTAAGAGAACTCACCATTATGTAGCTGAGCACAAATTTTATTCTAGACAGATGGCAACCATTAGGTATTTTTAAGCAAAGAAATGGTCTGGTCAGTTCTGCATTTTAGATAGATAATTCTGATGGCTGTGGAGAAAAAATTTAAGGGGACTTGCATAGAGACATGGAAAACAGAGTTTATCAATTCAGGTAAGAGATACTGAAGATTAAAAAGCTAAGAGAGATGGAAAAGAGGGGGTGGGTTTGAGAAACATTATAGACATAGCATGTTATCATGGGAGATTAAAGTACATATATGAAAAACACTGAGAAAAAAATATGAAGGAATTGTAGAGAGATAGTCTTAATAAACTAAAAGAAAATAAGGCAATTACTGTAGAACTCACAAACTCCATTCATTCATTCAACACATACTTGAGCTCTTGCTACGTGCCAGAAACTTTTCTAGGTGTTGAGAATATAGAAATAATCAAAACAGACAAAAATCCCTATCCTCAAAAACATAACATCCTAATACAGCAGAAAATAAATCAATGAAATAAACACAGTATGTAAGATGGCGATAAGTTCTATAGAAAAAATTAAGCAGGAGAATATAAATTAGTCCCCTCTTAAGCTAATACTAGAGCTAGCTGGTATATTTTACATGGCTTTCCAAAAGCAACATAAATGTTATCTCCTTTGAAAAGATTTCCTTGCTCTTACCTCTATGAGAAGAAAATGCTCTTTGTACTCTATCACACATATAAGTGTTATATATACATACACACACTCCATTCTTTCATCTATCTATATGTTTACCACCTTTATCTCTATTTATCCCATCTATATTTACATTATAACACTAATCCCTGACCATATTGTAATTCTTTGTTTGATACATGTCTCCATAAGTAGACTGAATCCTGTCCCTCTACCCCAGTTTTCTATCTTCATATCTGGCACACACTAGGTGTATAATAAATATCAGTTCATTAATCAGTAAATGAATAATATATAAGCTTGGACTTTTAGAAACTGTATTTAGGCATACACATAAACTCCTGCCAAGAATGGAACTACAAAAGAATCCTAGATACTGGCTAAAAGACACATGAAAAGATGCTCAATATCACTCATCATCAGGGAAATACAAATCAAAACCACAATGAGATACCAACTTACACCTGTCAGAATGGCTAAAATTAACAACACAAGAAACAACAGATGTTGGTGAGGATAGAGAGAAAGAGAACCCTCTTAACACTACTGGTGGGAATGCAAACTGGTGCAGTCACTCTGGAGAACAGTATGGAGGTTCGTCAAAAAGTTAAAAATAGAACGACCCTGTGACCTAGCGATTGCACGACTAGGTCTTTACTCAAAGGACACAAAAATATTGATTCGAAGGGGCACATGCATCCCGATGTTTATGGCAGCATTATCTACAATAGCCAAATTATGGAAAGACCCCAAATGTCCATCATCTGATGAATGGATAAAGAAGATGTGGTATATATGTTCAATGGAATATTACTCAGCCATCAAAAAGAATGAAACCTTGCCATTTGCAGTGATGTGGATGGAGCCAGAGTGTTTTATGCTAAGAGAAATTAGTCAGTCAGAGAAAGACAAATACCATATGATTTCACTCCTATGTGAAATTTAAGAAATAAAACAGATGGTCATAGGGGAAAGGAAAACAAAGAGAGAGAGAGAAAGGCAAACCATAAAAGAGTTTTTAACTATAGAAAACAAACTGATGGTTACCAGAGGAGAGGTGGGTGGGGGGATGGGCTAAATGGGTGATGGGTATTAAGGAGGGCAGTTATCATGATGAGCACTGCATATTGCATATAAATGATGAATTACTAAATTCTACTCCTGAAAATATTACACTATATGTTAACTAACCAGAATTTAATAAAAACTTGAAACAAAACAAAAGTCTAGATACAACGTTCAGATAACTTCTGCATTAATCAATTTAATATAAGCTCATTTAGGAACTCCCTCATTCTACAGGGAAAAAGTCTCTCTCTAGAGTCAAGAAGAACTCCACAAGAACAAATAAGCTCTGCAAAAAGATCTGGTAAATTTAAAATAAGATACCATAAATACTGTGTAAGGCTTAGATTTTTATTCTTTAACAATGAAATAATCATACAGGTAAACCACTAAAATGCCTGAAATGGGCTCCAGTCTTTTCAATGCCATTAAAAGTTTAAAAGTTACTGTCAGAGAAAAGACCATCACAGATGAAAATCATTAGTCTTCCTTTAATCAGACACCACTATTAGAATCTCATATGGATCAATACTTAGGTAAACTCACAACCACTAAAGAGAATTTTGCCACTCAAAAATCTAATACTCCATATACAGAGAATGTAATGCCCTGGTTTTTACATGTTTAACCAGCTATGCATGTCATTCCAGTTGCTAACATATAAGCCTTATTAAGCAAAGAAAAGATAAAATCACACTGCCAATTAGACTTTCTTGTCAAGAAAGGAAAGTACAAGAGCCATTTTTTAAATGAAATTTCACAGAACCAACCAAGTTTGACATACAAGAAAACAGATTTGTTTTAGGAGCCCACCTAATATACAAATAGCCCTTACACGCATCATAAGGATAAAACCCTTCTTTCCGCCCCCCCCAATCATCATCATCTAAGAAGGAAATTAAGTTAAACTGCTAACAATACCACTCATATAATTTATATGTAGTCACATTATTAAAGGAATCCATTCTTCTTGGCGGGCAAAAACTTCATAATATACTCAGGTGCAGAAGCTGCTAAACTTGGTAAAATCCCCATTAACAAGTTCTCCCTAAGCTACTTTCTTTTTCAATTACCCAGCTGTCTAAACAGATTGTTGAGTTGGAGGGGAGGAAAAGGATGGCTATTCACTTCTAAAGAGGAGGAATAAACATTCCATAGTGAAAAGAACTGACAAAATGAAGGACAGTGGACAGTAAAATTGCCTCTTTTGGGCAAGTTGCCATCAGCAAGGAAGACCTGAAATAGACACAGATATGTGCAAACTAGCCACGTAAGCACTGAATAAACCCTAAAGATGCTGTGTGTGGTATGTGGGAGGAGGAGTGTGTACAAAACTACTTGTCTTTTAGTTTACCTAGCAACATGATGGATAACATGAGCCCTACTGAGAGCTGCTGTTATACATCCTCACTATGGTTGTGATTCAAAATCATGCTCTTAACTAATGTTGACAATGTAAAAGCTGATCATCCAGATAGTGTCATATCATGGCATTTCAGTACTTATTATGCAATTTCTATAAAATATACAGTTTCCTATTTCTATACTAAATTCAATTATCCACAGGATCTAAAATAAATGATTTACAAAAAGCTTTGACTACAATGCCCAAGAAAAAAACTGGATCAGTTGTGCACAAACTTGAATGTGAACAATAAAAATGATTTAGAAGCATGTTAAGTGGAAAAATACTCCTTTAAAGATGCTTGAGCTATCTGCAAAAAATAAAACCAAAAAACAAAACAAAAAAACAGAACAACAACAACAAAAAACCCCCCAAAACCCCTCTCCATTTTGTAGGAACAGAAACCACAGAATCCCTAAAATAACAATATAAGAATAATAATAGTGGTGGTGGTGAGGAGGAGGTGGTGATAACAGGTGATAACTAACACTTAAAAAGAACATTGTATTCTCACGGGGCACCTGGGTGGCTCAATCGGTTAAGTGTCTGCCTTCGGCTCAGGTCATGATCTCAGGGTCCTGGGATCAAGTCCCGCATCCGGCTCTCTGCTGAGCAGGGAGTCTGTTTCTCCCTCTCACTCATTCTCTCTTCCCCACCTCCTCCTCTCTCAAATAAATAAATAAAATCTTAAAAAAAAAAAAAAAGGAACATAGTATTCTTTTTAAGTCAGGCATTGTTATAAGAACTTTATATATAACAACTATTTAAGCATCACCAGAAGACTATGAAATAATTACTAGGCAATCTACCTCTAGAATCCTACTCTTAATCACTATGCTATAAATATGTTCTGTAATGAAAAAAAAAAAAAAACTAGAAAAGACAATCATACCAATGACTCAAGCATCTTTACATAAACTATCTATTTTTAAATACTGTTTACCTAATAAACATAGTACATTTTACTATGGTCACTTATACTAAAATATAAGCAAAGAATGAAGGGTGAAGGTACCAAATCACTGCAAATGCAAAAGTGAATCTTCCATGAAAGGAACATATATCCAAACTCAATACACTCAAGCTAGTGGGCAGAGCCAAACACACTTGATAATCAGGATTTCAGTATCATGATATTATTAAAACAGTCTGTGTAGCCTGACTTCCAAGGGCTAGAAAGAACCTAGTTTGGACT